GAGTGGCCATTACGGCCGGGGGTCACAGACAGCACACAGACCTGACGGTGCTATAAGACCACTGCAAGTTACAGGGACATTAGGAGACTGAACCGAGGCCGATCGAAATCATGAAGACCCTCATTCTACTTTTCGCCTTCGTTGCTCTGGCAACATGCAACAAATGCGGCCCTCTACAGAAGCTGAAGGTGAAGCAGCAGTGGTCGGTAGCCTTTGGCACGGATCATCACAGAATTGACTTTGGCATCGCCATCTGGAGAGGACTTTTCCGTCAAGAACCCGAGGCCAGAAAGATGTTCAAGCGAGTGAACGGCGAAGACCTCTACTCCGGAGCTTTCCGCGCTCATTCGATGCGTGTTCTCGGCGGTCTGAACATGGTCATCTCGGCCATTGATAACGACGACATCGCCAAGTTCGTCCTCAGCCATCTTCACGAAGATCACGTCGACAGACACGTTCCCGGCAACTACTATCAGGCCATGAAGAACTCCCTGATGAAGGTCATCCCAGCCGCTATCGGACGCTGCTTCGATCACGACGCCTGGGAAGCGTGCATGGACGTCATCATTAACGGCATCAAGGGCAACTAAGCGAAACCGGAACGACGGTAACGAGCGCCCGAAACGCGAAGCATCCGCCCGGACATTCTCCGCCGACCACCGCCAGCAGCAGCTGCCGCAGCCATCCATAGAACCAACTGGCCACTGAACATTCTAAACACCACCATCACCGGAATATAGGCCTTCGGTTATAGGCTTATGACGTCATCGTTTTGGTTTCCATTACTTTTACCTCGTGAGTGCAGCGTACCATCATCGAACCGAACTGACATCATGGTCTACAGTCTCCTCATTGTCGCCGACCGAACACAGTGGCGTGGCGTGGCTGCGGCGGCTGTCCTTTCGGCAGTCGGTCGGGTTTGCCCGTCCGGTGGCTGCCTCGTGGAACACGCAGTTCGCTCGCGTACCCCTCTCCCTTCGCATTCAGCCATCTTGTATAATGACATCGCGCAAATGTGTTTCATTGTGGACTTAAGATGATGCGAAATAAATCTTACCGAAATGCAAAAAAGAAAAAAGTACCGACTGCGACTCTGCGTTGATACCACTGCTTA